ACACTGCAGGTCACTACACATATTTGAAACAGTAAATGCACCTCTCTGATGCCCTCAATACCGTCGTTTCTGCAGTCAGTCAGATTGGTCGGTCGGTCGATCGGTTAGCCGGTTAGTCGGTTGGCCAGTAGGTCGGTCCTTCCGCCCTTCGTGGGTACAAAGGGCACCATGCTATGACTGCCGTCCAGTCAGCGAAGTGACCAGACATAAAGACACCAAATATGATATCTTGAGATAATTGGTCCGGTTGCCCAATTTTTCTGCCTACCCATTTTTTTTCGATACCGTCGTCAATATCCGCAAATATCTTGCGTTTATAAATTGCTTTAAAGGGTAGCTGCAATCAATTTGTTTTAGTAAAAACTTCCTTAAGTAACCTTTTTGTCTCAGTTAACATTATTTTCAATAATTTTTCTTTACTATTTCAAAGGATATTTTACTTCTTCTTGTTACGTAAATGAGTTTTTCATATTCACGAGCAAATCTGTGATGTCGCCCCAGGTCTGGTCTATACACGAAAAATTGCTGCACTTTTGTAGATTTAACGGGCCTAATTTTTGTCTTCTTTGTTGATTAACTGTTCAGGACGTGAATTGTCATTGTCTCGATTTATGATCTACGGCATTTTCACCGCGTGAAAACTGTCCTTCAAGCATTACACGCCACGAAAACGCCAGGTTGTGGCAAAGGATACGTGCGTAGGTTACCTGGACACAACGTATAGGCATCAGGGTAGATGCGATCTCAAGCAACATGTTTATATGTCCATGTCCACGGCTGCGCTAGAATCTGATCGCGTGTGTGCTGTTCTGGTAAATTTAGGAAGTACATGCAGCCTGACCCTTACAAGGCTGTTTGAGTAAACAGAAGTGCAATGCTTATGTGAATACAAGTGGAAAACAAGCCTTTTAATATAAAAAACAAGTAAAAATACATATAATTTAAGGGATTTTAAGGATGTTTGTATCGATAACAACAAAATCAACGAGGTCAAAAGTACTAAATTCCTTGGCTTATTTATCGACAGTAAACTAATATGGAAAAAACACATAGAATGTATATGTAAAATTATTTCGACAAATGTTGGTATCATTGATAGAATGAAATCGCTTTTGCCTTCCAATATCAAACTCTTATTATACAATAATTTGACTCTTTCATATAGGCTAAATTAACGACGGAATTCTAGCATTGAGCAACGCATCTAAACAGCTCGTCAATAGAGTCCTCCATAAAACGTGAATGGACAGATACAGAAAAAAGAGCTGTTCGCATTATCTCAAACTTGGAACACCTGGCTCACAGAGATCCAGTTTTTATTCAGTGTGACCTTCTAAAACTTGATGACATGTGACTTTTTCAGTTTGGTATTTTCTTGTACCAGTTCTTCAGGGATGATGCACCCCAATGCTTTTATTCACTGTTTTAAAGAAACGATAAATTCCATTCTTATCTCACAAGACAGGCTGATCACCTTCATAACACTGATACACGAACTGATACTCGAATGACGACAAAAATTCAATGGCCCAAAATTATTGATTTCACTTGCTCCAAAACTGACAAACCTTGCTTCCTATGAATTCCCTCCACATCTGTATTATTTATATATTTTCTTCTTTTATACACCATATATTCAATATTTAGTCGTATGTGGAAATAAGTGAGATTGATTAGGCTTATATAAAGGGTTGAAAACATACGTAAAAGCAGAGGTGGTAAAAATTTTTGCAAGTCCAAGTAAGTCACAAGTCAAAAGCCAAGTCATAAGTCACTTGGTCCAGTGTGAAGTCAAAAGTCATTTTGATGACAGGTCAAGTCAACTGAAGTCAAGTCAGAAGTCAATTTGGTCCAAACATAAACAAGTCACAAGTCTTTTTGGCCAAAGACAAGCCAAGTCGCACATTATTTTATTTAGCTGTAACAAGTAAGAGAGCCGGGCATCAACCTCAGACTACCACGTTTTAGACAGAAACTAAACTTAACTCGCTTGATTAGTTACATGCATACTTACACTTCATAGTACGATACAATTTCCGTGTGTACTGCTGCACCGGTACTTTTATAGTACATGTACATTCATAAATACCTTAGGCCCGTGTACTAACATTTGATAATGACCGCTACGATTCGATAATACCCGCTGCTTAAAAAAAAACGCGCTGGCAGCTGGATACGAGATCCATTCCGATTGGTCGAGTCTGTTTGCGCGCGACACGTGGAACTTAACTCGCCACGAGCGCTCCAAGTCTATATAAGGAGATACTTCTGGACTGCTTGCATAAGGAATATGCGATTGAATGGACGGGGGTGTTCGGGGAAAAAATGTAAAATACTTGAATAAAATCCCTTGAAATTTATTGTTGGCTGATTTCCTTTGACTCTCTGACTAAATGGTATTACATCATGTCAATGGCAGGTCTAAATTTAACGTTTCAAAAATAGAAAAATTAATGCAGAGTTACGTTTTTGGTCATATTTTGTTGCTTGTTGGTAGAGGTGTGTTATTCTGCCCTGTTTGGGTTTATGTTCTGACAGCGGCTATTTAGCCGTCGCCGGCAATTTTAACCGAACAGTATCTAGCCTGCTAATGTAGGTCAGATTGACTAACTCTGACGCGAAGCCGAGAGAGGAAGTCCATCTGACCTACACTAAGGGACCATTTTTTCCCCACTACTTTCCAGAAATTAAACATGCTGTATTTGTTTTACATACCTCATAAGATTATTCATAAGCAAATTTAAAAAATTAACAAATTCCAAGCCAACACACAATTTGTTTCTGAGCTGTGGAGGTCCGTGCGTCTGCCAAGAACTACAACAGACCGGTCGTTCAGATAACAAACTACCGCATGGAAGCTAGCTGGATATAATTAACGGGATGATGTCACCTTGGCGCATTTAAGTTCTGTACTTCACAGACTCGCGCCGGAATCAGCCAGTGACACGTTACAATTTGCTCATCAACATTAATGAGGTGCAGTTTTCATTTTCTCTTTTTTTTCGGATATGTGGCTTTTGAGGATTTATTAAGGGTAAAAAGTCAGAAATTGTACTATGGTCTGTTTCCCACCGTGTACGTTGAAAGTCAGAACAACTATGTTGGCGCAAAACCAGATTAAACCTTGAAACGGTAGAAAAGGGCAAAATATCGTTTAGTTACGTTTGCCGGCGATGGCTGAATATCTACTGCTTCGTTTTACTCGTCTTCGCTGTATTTTTCCTGGTTAGGCATACTGGGTTGATCGTTCCATTCGACCTGTCATTTTTAACAGAGCTTGCGACACCCTGCACCAGTGGAACTGAGCAGCAACCAGCCATATCGTGCAGTGAGATAGCGGAGGTTTGTCAGCGGCCGCCCAATGGCATGTACTACTTGCTTGGAGATGCAAACAAACAGGTAAAGAGAGCAACTATAAATGGCGAAACCGTTTGAGCACTATGTCCACTATCTCAGGGAAACCAGTAGCGCCTGTTTCGGATCATTCTTGCTTAACCTCATTAACGTAGTTGAATGGTTGAGGGCTATTAGGGTGAGAATGTTCAAACGTGACCAACCTTCCTCCTACGTCCAGTGGCGTTGTTAGCCACGGAAGCTGTAGGCATAACACGTTGCCAGCTAAAGCGCAAAGTAGCGGAAACACAGCGCGATACATGTACTTACATTAATAAAATGGGCCTGACCTCCGACTGTTGAGTCTTACGGGGCAAGTTGATCACTTAATTTAAAATGTGTATAAAACCGACGCTGCTCAGCCTACCTTTGAGTTCTGAAAACAGCTTCTCTTTTCATTGTTTCATAACACTTAACTGTTGGAGGCTATATTAATATAGATATTCCGAGCCGAATTCACTATCTTCGCACACGAATTAGAGAAAGTTTCATTCAAATTAGCACGAAATAGATTGACGATCTAAATCACCATTCAAAGATAAAACTGCATTATTCAATTTAATTCTAAGAGCACGCCATTGCAACATCTTGTTAATCAAAAAGTGAAGGGTCAGCATTCAATTTGGAAAAATACACAAAAAGCATTCAAATTCGCTCCGACACTCCCGTGATAGGCGTATTTCTGGCGTTCAGTTTCGTAAATCGGGAAGCATTTGTGAGATGTGTGCAGTGTAATTCATTAAACGTTAAATCTCTTCTAATTCTTTCTTTCTTTGAGACTAATTTATGAAAAATACTCAAGAAAAGAAACGTTTGGTTCACGGCTAGAGAACTCTATAAAAATGCGAAGTAAAACTATTTTTATCACATAAATGGACAAAGTGGCAAAATTTCTAAAAAAGATGAGAAAAATGGAATGAAACAGGCAAGCAAAAACATCATTTTAAAACTCTGACAAAAAGGGAAATATGCAATTAAAGGGAATCCGAAAAAAAATCTTGTAGGATTTTTCTTTCAGCATCCATGCTGAAGGTCCAGGGAGAGTTTCACGTCTAAATTTTGATTCAACTGGCAATCAGTATTGAAGCAAATGTACTGTATTCTTGATGTTAATTTGTTTGAGATACAGAAAAAAAATATACATTCAAGTTAACACGGTGGACACACTTCTTGCGTATTTTCTTTTGCAATCTCCTTTTCTGTTCCATGCGCATCTTAATTTGCCTTATATTCCTCTTAACATTACGTTTTCCAATTTGGAGGCTCAAAATGCGAACTTGATTGCCCACAGGCAAAGACGAAAGTAAAATTGGGGAGGAATTTATCATTCCAGTCACCCAGCGTGAAATTTAATGACGGTTATGCGCTGTTCAATCGAATGAAATTGATTCTAAATTGAATTCGTTACAGTACACTATTCGCCGCCTGTAAACGAATTTAAAGACTCTGTCGTAAGAAAAAAGAAACACGGTAGCAGCCAGCTTTTAAAAATCGTTTAAATACAAATGAACAATAACGAATTTGACTGAGAAGATGACGACTTCGGCAGGGAAAACCTATATCATCGTATTGTGCCGGTTTCCAGTATGTTTGTGGCCATAGGCACATTTCTAATTGTGCTTTTTTGACAAAATGGTTCCAGCAGGCGGGGCGGTAAATCCAGCATACACTGAGCCCCTTCCGATTCAAATATCCAACTTATGCATGTGGCAGGTGTTCTTTCTAAGACATTGCCAATTAACGTATTTGAATGAATCAAAGATCGATTGTAGGTCAACTCGCCCCCTTGCCAACCCGTCCCCTGGCCGACTCACCCGCCTTCGCCAACCCACTCCTTCAAAGGGGAGTCCACGGTTTTAAATCAACGCGAGGTTCGTTACTTTGGAAGAGTAATCACTTGTAGGAGCATAGGGCATTTGAACGAGTTCAGGATTTTATGAGGAGCCATATTGATGAGTGTTAGTTTTCCTGTACAAAAAGTAGAGTTGAATGATATACACAGAGAATTATCACGTGTCATGCCACACAAATGAGTGAATGGACTTAAAACACGTGTTACTCTCACCTTAAAGGTGGTGTACACCATTGGTAAAATCCCGAATCGGACTACCGTATAATCCTGAAATATCTCACTCGAAAGAAAGCACGCAACGGTCTCAATCAGTCTGTAAAATATTTCCACCCAGAATGCTGTAGTTTTCGAGAAAAACAAAGATTTTGTTCTCTTTTATTCCGACCATCGTAATAGAGCTAATTTCAGTTCACCTTTAATAGCCGCCAAATTTCTTATATGCAGGGTTTGCAGATGTTGTGGGAGTCTCCATTAATGAACGGATAAACCTAAAAGCAGCTAAAAATAAACTGACATCTTTCACCAAAAACACTGTGAACTGAAATATAGAAACCTGATTGTTAGGCGTAAATTAGAAAATAAATTGGGTCCATGTGAAGTTGAATTTTATTTAAGGAAAGGTTTTTTAACGGAAAACTTTGCGAATTCAAAATCACCCCTAGATAATAATGGTATGATCCAATATGGCGGCTGTTTCCGAGCAAGATGAATTTCTCAACAAAAAGTATGATTCCCACAAGTTTATCCTCCCTTGCTTTAAGACATAATTCTTTTTTACTCATAATTATTAATGACTCAACTGTTAATGGTGTTTTAGACTTTCATCGACGTGTGAACTGACATGACAGTGCCGTTATCAGTAAACACGATCGTGCGCGCACGTGAATAATCATATAGGCCTATGTTACAGACACGAGTCGGCAGTGCTGTGTTCCTGCATGGTTCCTGGATGAAGATTTTCCATGAATCTGCAATGCTACATTGTTGAGGAGGCGCATTACTCCAAGGTAATTTCACTGATTACTCCTAGCCGTCGAAAACTGCTCCTTTATTAAGGGAATGAGAACCTGTCATGTTGTTTCCCCGTGGACGATGTTCGCTTGTAAGCCTACTGCGAACGCCCTAAAGTCCATAGATTTTACGCAAGATAAACTACAAGACCTTCAATTTAGCGTTGAAAATGCTGCACTGTTTTCTCGTTTTTTTCACAAAACAGTTGACTCAATCATGAAAGTAGAACGTAAGTTTCAGTGAATATTACAGACCGTAATCAGCCAATCGTGTGAAATTACGACAAAAACCAATGGCGTATACATGTACCACCTTTAACGGAGAATGGTGATCACCAAGAAACTTCACTAGGCTCGGGCATTCGAACGAAAAAAGCTATGGTTTTTTTCTGGATCATAGCACGTTCCGCGGAACGACTTGCCATGGGTTGAGGTATGCCTACCAAGACAGTGGTTTGTGATGGCAAAAAAACACGAAAAATAAGTGTGCTGTACATTCAGCCGAATGCGAGTTTATTCTATGAATGCAATATTCAATATTCTTCTTTCTGACGAACTTCGCCCAGTAAACGGTCCAGCCAACGGGCCCCCCACTGAGGGGTGAATTGGTAAAGGGAGGAGTCGGCCACGGAGCGAGTTGACCTGACACCCAACGAGGCTAGCTGCATCAACATGCCATACGATTTTTCCTGGCAGCATTGCGTTTATTGTGAAATGCCCAGTGGCTTGGCCCGCTTCGGGAAGGGAAACATGCAGTCCTGTTGGAACTACAAGAACGAAGATCGCGAAGAGGTCCATCTCAACATTATATCGAAGACTGAGATTGCAATGATAAAGGGGTTTTCCTTCAACGAGTTTCAGATCCACACTGATGTGGAGTTCTCCTTGCAAGCAGACGATTCCACCAACCCATCAGTCGTCGAGGTGTTGTACCTGCCATCGTTTCAAGCTTTAAATCTGAGCATTAGACATGGTTTCGATAAGACTCGCTTGAGTTTCGCCACTGGAGGTTGGTTCTGTTTAAATTTTCTTTTTTATGTTGCGTCCTATGCAGTATTTTACAACACCTAAATAGATGAGTCAAGGTCACATAGCATACAGTCTATAGCCTGGCCCACGTAGAAATTTTATAGGATATCTCTGTACAGTCTCGATTGTAATCACAGACATAAAATGCCTATAGACCGAGAGCACCTATGCAAATTTACGTCTGGGTACCTTTGATGGTGCCATACTAAACACGAAATAATTAGTGGAAGTAGTTGAGCAGTGTGCACAAGCCTATGGTTATATCTTAGGATGAGTGATACAAAGGAGACATTCCGGATGTCCACCCTGACAGTGACCGGAAACTCTGTCCGGTATTTTCTGCGTGCTCCTCTTCACTTACATTTCGTTTATTTTATTTCTAAAATGAAAAATGAGTCGGAAACTTGCTTTCATTTTTTGGTGATGTTTTCATATAAATAAATAGGCCTACTTGTATAAATAAATAACCAAAAAATCCGTCAGGGTAGGGGGTAAGTCCCCCCCCCGCTAGATACACCACTGGTCAAAACATCTCTGGTGGCGTTAAACACCGTTAAGGACAAGTCGTAAGAAGAAGTCAGGGATTTATATAGAGTAAGTCAAATACACGGCATGTTTTAGTCCAGCGGCAGAGGAGTATAAATTAATCCTGGTCGAAGTTACTTACCAAGCCTTTTCATTGAATTGTTTCTCTTTGTCAATCATTTTTAACACTTTTTTGGATTACTTCTTAAATGCCCATACCGTTCATTACTCGGAGTGCTGTTGGAGTCTTCCACCTGATCTCTGCCTTGAGAACGTTACATTTTTTGAACTCCGAGTAATCAAACAAATTCTGCGTGAGGGATGTCACCGTCATTTATCCTGATCCTGCGTATCCAGTTTTATAGGGAGGCGTCTGCCAATGATTTTGGTGTTTCTTTGATTTGAGCGACAATTGTTTGATTTGAACACGTAGGCTGGCTTAATGTCTCGCTATTTGTCTGCACAGCCGTTCTGAGTCTGCCCGCCCGCTATGTGCGCATGCTTCGGCCTATGTAGGAAATTCACATGTACAGTATACGCATGTTGGTATCCCCACCAGTTCTACCACAAACCAGAAGGGAGAATACGAAAGCCCAATCGTGCAACTTGGAAACTATTCAGTGGGGAAAACTAATTCTTTATTTCAAATTACTGATGCATTATTAAGGATTACGTAAAAACGAATTATTAATTAAAAACAAACAAGCAAGCAAGCAAACAAGCAAGCAAACAAAAAGAATCACTAATCCGTAATAACGAATCAGTAATTTGTCATAAGGAATTAGTTTGCCACTGAATATATTTTCCAATGGCACGACTGACCGATTTGTAGAAGGCGCACGAGTCACAGCTCTTCACACAAACACAACAGTCGCGGTTCGGAATTTAGCTTCGATTCGCGCCTTTATAATTATTACAAGGTAAAATGGTGACTTGTGTACAAAAAGGATAGACTCAGGTATTGACACAAACTACTACTTTTGTTGCACATTCATGCAACTAATGATGAATTTCATTCACTGTTCCATTCCTTCTGGCTTCGCCTCATAGGATAGAATAGTAAGTTTATCACCGCATAAAATTATTCATATCATTATATTTTTAAGCATTTATAAATTTCCTTATAAACCATTTTTATCACTATATCTTTAACGGGTCTTTGAACTTGATTATCTTTTTGTTTCAGGAGACCGACTGGTTTGCAATGGCGAAAGGAGTACCGCTTGCGGTTTGAATGGTTTGCCATTCCGGGATGAGCAGTCTCAGTTCCTGGCGATCACCGCACTGCACTTCACTCCTCGCATACAGGGAGCATCAGCGCATAGCGACGAGTGGCACCGCAATCGCTACTCTTGGTCTGGATCTTACTATTACATTCTGGCAAGGAAGACCGAGGAAACCTAGGACAGTAAATAGAAGGCGTCCCCAAAATCCATATTGTAGTGATATTTGTAATTTCGCGTATTGTAGTAGCTTATAGCTGGGTCTTTCCGGAAGTATTTTACGTGGGCATCAAGATATCGGGGTCACAAATAGTCTGCACTCAGTCTCAGGTAACATTTTTTTGATTCTTCACATATCCTTCGCCTTTTGACCAAACATTGTGCTTTGCCAGCGGAAAAAGACCAATACGAACACGCACATACAAACTCACACAAACAGGAAGAGAAATAAACTCAGATATTAAAAGCAAAATCAGGTAAATATATTAACAATAGATAAACATATTTAGATACTAAATAAATATTAACAAATCGCAAGAAATGAGACGTAGAGCAAAGTCTAACAAATATCAAGAAACTGAAAACGAGAGACTATCAAATAACGGCAAAATCCCCTTGACAGAAGTCTCCAACAAAAGTGAAAAACAGGCAGTGAAGCAGTTCTGTGCGGATAAGTTTTAATAACATTTTGCTCAATTAATGCTTTGTTCAGAGAAGCAGTGGGGTAACTAGGGCTATGTGGCAGGGGGAGGACATCCGCAGGGGTGCACACATTTTTAAGGGTGCACCACACTGAAAATAAGAAGTAACTGCATAGCTATATAAACTCAATAGAGAGTATTCACAGATGCCAAATGGTGGGGGGCGTGTGGGGGCACAGGCATCTGCAGGAGGCACCTAGCCCCATGGCCACCCCCCTCTGCAGTTACGCCATTGTTTGGAAGACAAATAATGAATTTTTGAAGAGACAATAATTTGATTTATGTGAGGTGGGCTGGACCCTAGGTGTAGGCTGGAAATTTTCAGGATGTTTCTAGACTGAGGCAGAAAATCCTATTTATTTATTTATTTATTTATTTATTTATTTATTTATTTATTATTATTTTTTTTGGCCAAAGCCGACTGTAGAAATTCATCCTCGTGTTTTAAAGTGGCGACCGGGAAGTGAAGACTAGGAATGACCGCATAGCAACTGCCTGCAAACTATTTACGCAACTTAATTAGGCCTAAAAAACAAAAACAAGATTCTGGGCTCTTTAATGTTTTTCAGTTGGCATAATGTTGGGATGTCTCGAAAGGCGGAGTCGGATTTTGTCATCGTACACGGCATATAGGGCGGTGTACTGTTTATTCAACCAAGTGTGAAGTGTTTTGGTCAAATAGCTTTCTTTTGGAGCGGCAACAAGGTTCACCACGGCGTGCAGTTTGATTCCCTTTTGTGGTGCCAGTTTTGAGCAGCCGGCAACCACCTATATGCCAACCCTGCCCGTGGTCCTCATAGAACAAGAGTTCATATTTTTTGTGGGTGTTAAATCTCCTATGGCTTACAGAACGAATTAAAGGACCTATCGCTCCTACAGATGAAATGGACTTATTGTTCTAAAGCTAAACCGACGAGTGAATTGAGCTCTTGTCATAGATACTTTTATCAGATGGATTAGTAGACCAAGCGATATGCTACACAGAAAATTGACAGGCTAGCTGGGATATCCTGACGCAATTTATCCCTTTTCATTATTTTATTATATGCATCAAATTGCATATAAACCCGACGTAGAGCGGAGTTGATACCCATGGGATCCAATTTTTTTCTAATTACGTAATTAAAAAAAAATTCGGCTAAATGCAAAAACTTCCTGTTAATTTGTTTCTCTGTAGATGATGAACAGCCTTGTTTAGTCACCTTTAACATGAGGATTTCCCTTGAGCTGAGTAATTCTTTTCCAGAGCCTGCCTCTAGCCAAGTCCCATGGGGATTGTATGTAAATATCAAAGCCACGTACTGATAAGGGTTATTGACAAACCAAGTGCCTTGGCAAGCCTGGGCCTGTCTTATATCAATGGTCAGTCTTATATCAATGGTCGGTGTCTTCGAACTGTCTAGACAGCTGTCTGAGTAGTTTCACTGCGTGGGGGGGTGTCAAATTTTTGTTGATTGTGGTGGGACCCCCCTTTGAATACAAAAAGCCTGGTACCGTGACCGTACTCTGACCTTTTTTTGGTGCGGTGTTTTTTATTTGTAGGCACTTGGGGACGGGATTTCAATTGTATCATGTCCGAGCATTAACCCTAAAAGATTGGCCCTGTGCAGCGGAGGGTAAATTACGTTGAATATTTATGCATGTACTATCTATTTGTTCAAATCCTGGATGTGACGTTATTGTTGTAAATCTACCTGAGACATATATGTTGTAAAATTATGAGATACCTATTCAACCTGTTTGAAAGGTTGGAAGAACCAAGCATATATAAAGAAGTGAAAATTAATTTAGAGTTGAAATATCTTTCAACATTTAATTAAAAATATTGCGTTAGTAAGGGGTAATAGGTTGAAAAGTCTACACGTAGAAGGAACCTTCTTGGAGGTGCAGCATTGAATATATTGAGGTTGAATGAAACTTGATAAATTAGATTTTATTGAATTGAGACAAATATCTAATCAAATTTTATTGTGAGGTGATAAATTATAAATTCTAAAAAAATGTTAATTTGAAGATTAATTAGTGGAATTGGATAACCTGAGACAATTGGGGAATCGTCCCTGGGAATTGAATTGTATACAGATGTAAAACATGTAATTTCCTCTATCCAATTCTAGCTCTAGTGCAAATAATTTATAGTCATGTTAAAGTGTATATGTTGTGAAATTAGTGAAGAGATATGAGATGTTATTAATGCCTGCGTCATTTCTATTAATATTAATTATTTCTGCTTATCTGGATGTCATTTTAGACATAGTCTTCAGGAATTAGTGGAAACAATATTAANGAACAAGTATTATCAAGTTTAATATATTGGAATGTATGGCCCGTGTACGTGTCTCTTCAAATCAAGATTTTCCCCAGTAACGTTATCCAACTCATATTCTACTTTCGACTCCCAAAGCACCAATGGGTTTCGATTGAAGTGCAGTACATGAATATAATTCTACTTTGTCTTCAGCTGCGGTTCATTTTCCCTTGTGTTTGATCAAAAATAATTTTGGGATGGAGTGATGCCCGTTATTAAAGGAACATAACAATTGACAAGCAAACCCAGTAGGCCTAACAGAGAACCTGAAACACGGTCAGTGACACACAACCGGACCACGTGTAAACAATTTTGACCCCTGGACCAGTACCTTGTCGCCATTATGCAGGATTTGTAAGTGGGACAGGACAATTATAGCGGGTTCAGTCACAGGGTCTCCCTGGCTGGCTGTGCTGCAATTGGCAGGAAAATCCTGACCTCTTAGGTTTGTGTACATTTTGTATATGAAACGCCAAATGTACCAAAATATGATGTTACCCCGCGAAAGTAGTTTGATCGTGTCCTCAATCTATTATGTAATGTTGTCAAACCATTACGCGATGTTGTCAAACCATTATGTGAAGTGGTCACTCTATTATGTGAAGTTGGCAATCCATTATGTGATGTTGTCAGTGCATTATGTGAAGCTCTCTATCCATTCATTATGTAGAGTCCATTGTGTGGAGTTCTCAATCCATTATGTGAAGTTGTGAGCCATTATGTGATGTTGTCAAACCATTATGTGCGTTATGTGATGTTGTCACACCATCATGTGAAGTTCTCAATCCATTATGTGAAGTTCTCAATCCATTATGTGGAGTTCTGAATATCGTGATGTTCTCAATTCGTCACGCGGGGACTGTTTATATAGCCCGTGTCGAATTATGTGAAGTAGTGAACTTGAATTTATTGTTTTGTTCTCCACGGTCAGTGAATAACGTGGTGTAGTCATAATGATACCGTTCCACTTGTTGAGCTTTATTACTTAGCATTATTTCTGGGACTGCAGACAGATTTTAAAATACTGATTTTCAGTTTTATTTTATTTTATTGTATTTTATAACCAAATCCTCTTAAAGGCATCCCATGCTCACATAAATCTCTAACTATACACAGCAGACCGTTGCCACCATTTTGACACATAAATTTAAATTAAACAGCTTTTCAGTAATTACTTTTCAATAAATCATACGTTTTTCTCATATCAACCTTTGCGAATGTATTTACTCCAAGAGAACTTAGTGTTTCAGCCAGTTAGTTAACAGTCAACACAAACACAACATTATATTGTAACGTCTCTCTTGGGGTAGGGAGTCGTTATCATAAAGACTAAGAGTCATTGGGCTGACTTATACACACACTACTGTTTTATTCCGAAGAATAATTCACATCTTCTCTGTATTTACAAGGAGCAACTGCTACTAGTAAGGCTGGATACTACTCAAGTACTGCTCGTCCAAATCTGAGCCATTTATTCGGGAGTGATAGAAAGGTTGTTCATATCGGAGCCATACACTCACGAACGGTCAGGGAATTATTTCCCCAAAGCTGCCCGCTCGGGAATGATTAATGCTGACAGTTGAAGCTGGTCGTTTTATATAGACTTTTGGGCCCGCGTCTTAGCAAATTGGAGCACTGGATTAGGGTAGCTATGAATAATTTATACATGTAGAAAGTCTATGGAAGAAAAGTCTATGTTTATTTTGTACACACTTGGTCTTCGCTGACTTAGTTTCTGGAGAGCTATAAGGTCCGAGAAGGTTGGGAGCGGGTGGGTGAAAGGCTGTTCGTGGGTGAGCTACCGGGGACTTGGTCAACGATGGAAAGGAAAGGGTGAGCCTTTCTCGGTACATTGAGTTGTGTACAACACTTAATCTCTGGATGGCTAGGAAAGTTACACATAATTCTTACGGGGTAAACTGAGGGTGAGCGGAGGTAATTTACCTCGTTGTGCCGTGACCGGACACAGGCTTTCGGTGTGTGGTTTGGCGGGGCACATACGGTATGACTTGCGGGTCTGTGTGGGTCAAATGTACGGGTTATATTTGAGACTGAAACTTAGGATCGACTCCGAGGAAGATTTGGGGGAAATGAGTAAGTTGGAAGTGTGCTTCGGAGTTGCGGTTCAAGGGCATGTTGCAGAATGGAGCAACGGGGTCGCGCGTGGAATGCAATGCGCTGTGTAAATCCGTAAGATCTACATGTACATGTAGATGGTCATTGCGCGCTTGCTGTGGAACTGAGGAATTGAAGAAATATGAGACTGATGGACCTCTGGGCCGGACTCAAGGCTTTCAATTCTGAGCAATTTGGATGCGATCGGGTTTGAAAGTGGCACTATTTGAGCCATTTTGCCCGAGGGANCAACAAGTAACAGCTTTTCACTAATTACTTTTCAATAAATCATACGTTTTTCTCATATCAACCGTTGCGTGTGTATTTACTCCAAGAGAAGCTGAGTGTTTCAGCCAGTTAGTGAACAGTCAACACAAACACAACATTATATTGCAACGTCTCTCTTGGGGTAGGGAGTCGTTATCATAAAGAATGAGAGTCATTTTACTGACTTAAATACACACTACTGTTTTATTCCGAAGAATAATTCACATCTTCTCTGTATTTACAAGGAGCAACTGCTACTAGTAAGGGTGTATACTACTCAAGTACTGCTCGTCCAAATCTGAGCCATTTATTCTGAAGTGATAGAAAGGTTGTTCATATCGGAGCCATACACTCACGAACGGTCAGGGTATTGTTTCTCCCAATCTGTTTGCTTGGGAATGCTTAATACTGACTGTTGAAGCTGGTTGGTTTATATAGACTTTTGGGCCCGCGTCTTAGCCAATGGGAGCTCTGGATTAGGGTGGCTATGAATAATTCATACATGTAGAAAGTCTACGGAAGAAAAGTCTATGTGGATTTTGTACACACTTGGTCTTCGCTGACTCAGTTTCTGGAGAGCTATAAGGTCCGAGAAGTTTGGGAGCGGGAGGGTGAAAGGCTGTTCGTGGGTAAGCTACGGGGGACTTGGTCAACGATGGAAAGGAAAGGGTGAGCCTTTCTCGGTACATTGGGTTATGTACAAAACTTAATCTCTGGATGGCTAGGAAAGCTACACGTAATTCTTACGGGGTAAAACTGAGGGTGAGCGGAGGTAATTTACCTCGTTGTGCCGTGACCGGACACAGGCTTTCGGTGTGTGGTTTGGCGGGGCACATACGGTATGACTTGCGGGTCTGTGTGGGTCGAATGTACGGGTTATGTGTGAGCCTGAAACTTAGGATCGACTCTGAGGAAGATTTGGGGGAAATGACTAAGTTGGAAGTGTGCTTCGGAGTTGCGGTTCAAGGGCATGTTGCAGAATGGAGCAACGGGGTCGCGCGTGGAATGCAATGCGCTGTGTAAATCCGTAAAATCTACATGTAGATGGTCATTGCGCGCTTGCTGTGGAACTGAGGAATTGAAGAAATATGAGACTGGACCTCTGAGCCGGACTCAAGGCTTTCAATTCTATGCAATTTGGATGCGATTGGGTTTGAAAGTGGCAATATTTGAGCCATTTTGCCGAGGGAGGGTTTTTCAAAATGGCTACTTTTNCCCCGAAAATTGAAAGGAAAATGAAAGAGGACATGTGGAACATCATTTTCCTGTGTAGCCTGAACACCTGTGAGAGTTGTATTTTTAAAATAGTTGTGAAGTATGGGGATTTATCACTGCTGTCTATGGGAATTTATTTTTAGTGGTGCACCCGTAATTGGTATTCCAGCTGTCCGGTACGAGAGCTGTTTTCTACGGAAGCGTATATAGTACATGACTAAAAAAAATGGGCCTACTCTTTCGCACGGGCGGATTAGTGTTTCGCCTAGGCGGATTAGTATTTCGCTCAGGCGGATTACTATTTCGCCCGGGGAGTGGCGTAGATTTATGTGTCAGAATGCGGGATGATTTCCTGGGGGGGGGGTTGACTTAGATTGACCGTTCCGACATTTTTGCTGGCCATTGTGTCAAAGATGCAAAGTTACTCATGAAGTGCACTCTCACTCCTGCATTTAGCAAAGGCAGAGATGTTCTCCTTATTAATCACCTTTTCCCAACAGATTAACTTAACAGGAATGTCAATAGAACTGATTGAAAAATGCCCTTATGAATCTATCAAACATATTAGCCATTCCCCTGAAAAGTTACAGATTTTTTGTTTGCCTGAAAAGAGTTTTTCCCTGCATATAATTCTGTTCTTAGAGAAATGGAGAGAGTTTAACTCAGGCTCTTTTATCACATTATATCACTGACACTTTTATTTGCAGCAATTTAATATAAAATAAAGCCAATTGTTTATAAGACCATAAACAATTTAAATTGATACTACTGATATTTAAAGGGACTGGAGTTGACGGCATTAATAAATTTCCATGAATTAACTTTCTGGACCTTTGGGATCTTTTTTAATACTTATTTATACTTTATACTTTATTTACGTATTTCATAGTAATTGGTAACTTAAAAGGCAATTAAATGTAAATTGGTGCTTTTGCTTTTGTTCGTTTGTAATGAACTTGTTTAGTTTAGTTCCCAGGAAAATGACCATGTTTGGGGCTATCTCGGATTAAATCAACTCACTTTGTTTAATGTTTAGTTTTTCCCTCTACGTGCACGTGTCGATTTCTTCTGAGTAAAATCAGCATTATTTTGGGCGGCGACGAATCTATTACTTGGATATCAAGTCTTTGACGCATCGGAACAAGCTACGTACAGTATTGTTTAGGAGTCAGCCTTTTGTTTCTCCAAAAAAAAGGGGACTTACTCGTGACAGACAGAAAGTTAAAAATCGAGACTGACTTGGCATCGTAATGCATAGGTAATTGTGCGTCGCAGGGGGGCCACTTGCTTTCCCCCAAGAATAAAATAAAAAAAATTATAAAAAATGCGAAAGATATGACAAAAAATTTAAAGGGAATAAAAAGAATTATACCAAAGATTTCAAAATTAAAGCCATTTGTTGCTGTTTTCTCCTTTGCTCTTGTCCCCTTCCCCCAACCTTTTTAGCCGTTTTCCTCGATAGTTTACAGTGGGAGGAGCAACTGCATCCCCCTGATGTTCATGATCGGTTCGTAGTTTAGTGCTATGTACCCTCCTGGAAATCCCCTTTCCCCCTTTTTGGCCGTTTTCCTCGATAGTTTACAGTGGGAGGAGCAACTGCATCCCCCTGACGTTCAGGATCGGTTCGTAGTTTAGTGCTATGTACCCTCCTGGAAATCCCCTTTCCCCTCTAAGATAAAATGCAGTGGCGCATTCAGTGTCCAAGCGGGGAAGGGACACGGGAACAGATTCACCCCCATTTTGTAAAGCCATTCTTTTTCCTCGTAATTTTTAAAAAGTTCATGCGAACATTACTTCACTCTTAACCCTAAAAAGTCAGAAGTATGGGGGACCGCTTCCAGCCAGGGGGCGGATTCCGCCCGCCACCGCAGAACTCGGCCATCCCACACGCGATTTCAATTAAACTCTGCATGCATGTAAAGACTAAAGACAATCATAATCAATACAAATAATCAATAGATCAGTACATTTTCAGAGCTCAGGATGTTGCTAATATAGGGCCACGCGCTTGCCAGTGTGTGCTAACAACGTTGCAACGTGTGCGCGTGGAAAAAGTGTTGGTTTTTGGTTGCTACGGGAAACTGAACAGTTCACGAGAAAGGCAGGCCCGATTCTCACAAAATAGGTGAAAATGACGGCAAAGCGTAACGAGTCTGGAAGACCCAAAGCGTGAAAATGCACTGTGAGGCTGGAGAGAAAAATGTGGAGTGGGCGGAAATCGCCCCGGCCTTATTTTGGGGGTAGGGAGAGACAGATGATAAAAATCATTTTGCCCCTTCCCCCAACCCTAATCTAGGGCCCCCCCGCAAACTCTGGGCGAACTTCCAGAGAAACTTTGCAATTGAATTGATTTTGAATAAAAAAAGTAGGCCTACTCAAAAATCCTTTTTTTTAACGAAAAAGTGGGGGATGATCCATTCCCTGCAAAAAGTGAGCGATATATATACACCCAGTCTCCAGGGATACTAATCCACCTGGGCGAAATACGAATCCGCTCCGGCGAAATAGCAGGCCTGATTTTTGGTCAGTCATGTTCTATATACGCTTCCGTAATTTTCAATTGGTTCGACCATTTTTTTGGAGGTTGGAATCTCGCTCTTATGGGTGCACTGCCCAATTCAAGGGAAGTTCTTCAGCAGACGGAGGCGCTCAAAACGTACTCTACAATTTATTTAGAAAAGAGGACTTTGTGTGGCCCACGAATTTGTGGGATTGTAAAAAAACGGCCCAGAATGAAATCTCTAGATTCAAGGGCTCCCATCCCAGGGCGAAGCGTAGAAAAATGCTACTGAAAAATTGTCCCTAGAGCCTGAAAAGGTGGAGGGACGTCATTTGAAAAATGGCTGCTGACAGACTTGGGAACGTTCACTTTTTAGGAGGTGAGTTTGTTTTGGGTGACGGATAATTAAAAATTTCATTGGTTAACCTACTAAAAATTGAAAATCAATTGAGAGCTGAATGACCCCAGAACACTTTGTTTTTTGTTTGAGAGACCTGAGGGACTGGTCGAGTTCTTCAATGGGACTTCAATTAGTTCAGTGCACCCTTGGGGCACGTTGGCTGTGTGACAAGTCGTCAGGTAGAACGTCTTGACACGCGCTGCGCTAGCTGTAACGGTGTGGCCGTGACCTCCTAAAATACACGTACAGTGCCGAGCAACCTCGGCTACTGCCGCATGTCATGTGCTGTGTGATTCACACTAAGCGTACGGTATGGTGCGGTCGTCGGGCAGAGAACGGGAGATTGGTGAGTGCTGATTTTTCAAAATATGATCAGTCCTGTGGTTTAAAAACCACTCATACAACGTTGTCCGATCAGGAGATACACCTAACGGTTTCTATCAGGGAAAATTCGATTGAAGAGGTGGAATTGGTGTGACTAGTAATTTAGCTCAGGCTGTCAGAGGCTACTGCTAGTTGCTAGTGCGACTGTGTAAACAACAACGGCATGATTCTTTCGTACCTCCTTCCTCCATGCCCACAGAAGCTTGCAGTTCTGTATATAATATTATCATAATATCAACGGATTTATCAGAATTAAAGGTGGTACGCACCAAAAACAATATTGCCAAATTATGTTATGAAATCACTCTTAAAAGTGTTATCGGTTATCAGTTATTAAATCTGTAAAATCTTTCTGCCTACAGGACAGTATATTGTAAAATGGATTTTTTAAAAAACGGCCATCGTACGGACGATTGTTGGAGAACATTATTTGATTGAATATCATAAATGTAGGGGGTTAATTCCTGAAACAAAAATTTGTATTCTCAAAGCACAGCGCCATATTTATGCACTACATAGTCAACTCTACATACACCACGGACGTGTATAATAAAATCCCGACTCGCAATGCCCTTAATCAGCTTATAGAGATCATTGAATCTACTCGCGGCCATTTTACCGAGCCGAATACAAAGCTTTC